AGAGGCTTTACACAGTGGACGCAGTTTAAACATGAATGGCCACTGCTTTGCATCTGCAGGTGCCTGGAGACATCCCAGGTCTAAAACCACATGCTTTCATTTTTTTTTGCTTGTTTGCTGTAGCAATTCCAAGGAATATAACCTAATAAATCTTAGATAAGATAGTGCTTGACCTCCAGGTGTCCAGGATTTCTTCTCGATCTCTGACAAATGTACTTTGCCCTGTCAGTAAGCCCTTAACCCACCTCCCTCCACACCCACAGAAGCCCTACAGAAACATTTCCAAGGAAATCATGACATTCCTGACGTTATTACGATGAGAGAACTTATATCATCTCTTGGAGGCGGGCCAAGGCCCCCCCCCCGGACATGCCTCTGTTTTACTTCAGTAGGCCCATTCAGGTGTCTCCAACCTGTACGAAACACCCCTCTGAACTTCGGTCTCTCTCCATCAATAAAAAGCCTTGTGAAGAACTTGGCAGAACAGTACTTTAATATCAATCTTTAATATAATTTCTGAACTGTTTATGGTGTGTGGTTTATGGGGAGATAGCTGTGCTGTGTGGAAGAATACATGAATCTGCAGTCATGGTCAAGAAACAGATGGTTATGGTATGTGTGGAGTGCAGACAGAATGCACTAGTCCAACTGCTGACGATGTGCATATTGGAGGACTGTAGCGAAATAAAATGGACTGCTACTTCATCTTTAAAGCGATCCAGATAAGAATCAGCTTATCCCACATGTTGTTGATCAGCTAAAACATGAGCATTCTCAATGTATTGGACATGTACTCTCAGAGATACAGGTACGAAACTGTGACTGGGGCAGTACCGCTCTTGTCACTGGGGTGGTACCTTTAAGGCTAACTTTGAGGGTACGTTGGCACTGTTTGAACCTCGATAACAAAAAATATGCACCTGCACAGAACCTTTATTTCTAACAGTGCATGATGCCAAACACTGGCAGCACCACCACGTCATTTTCAAGCTGCTGTTAATGAACAACTTTGGACAGTGCAACATACTTGGAGGAGAATGCTAACAGCCAGTTCTTTTGTCAGCTAACACATGCTGTGAGCGTTGTGCTAAGTGATGGGGAGAAAATGAAGGCCGTCCATCCAGAGTGACAACAATTATGATCTCTTGGACTTTTGGCCACAGATCTTCTGAATAGGGTCACCAGAACCCAGCTCTATAGCAAAACCAAAGAAGCAAACTTCAGACAACAAAGCTATGTTCACATTACCAGATTAAAGTGGCACAAATCTGATTTTTTGCCCTAATGTGACTCAGATCTGATGTGTTCAGGGCTGTGTGGATACGCAAATCTGATCTTTTCAAATCCAACCTGAGTCATTTTGGCTATGTTCACATTACCAGGCTGAAGTGGCACAAATCCGATTTTTTGCCCTAATGTGACTCAGATCTGATGTGTTCAGAGCTGTGTGGATACGCAAATCTGATCTTTTCAAATCCAACCTAAGTCATTTTGGCTATGTTCACATTACCAGGCTGAAGTGGCACGAATCCGATTTTTTGCCCTAATGTGACTCAGATCTGATGTTTTCAGAGCTGTGTGGACACACAAATCTGATCTTTTCAAATCCAACCTGAGCCACTTTCATATGTGGTCCTAGATCGGATACGTATCCGATTCATGGCCATGCGACCTTAATGTGAACACTCAGATCGGAATTCATGTGCTTTTTTTCCATCATTCGACGTTACCATGGCAACAGCGCCGGACAGAAGTTAAAGCCTGTAAACGGTGGAAAAGCAGCTCATCTCACCTTTTTCTCCTTCGTCTCGCTCTAATAATGAAGCTGAGAGCTGATCAGAGTTAATGATCTCCTCAGTGAAGCTCGTTCTGCTCGTTAGTTTGTGCTGATGATGCACGTGATTCGTTCACGTGACGTTACTGAGTAGGATGTGTTCATGAGGGTCATTTCAGGATGCCAGTTTGTTCACATTAATGACAGATTTGAGTCACTTACCTAAACGAGTGTGAACCATCGTGTCAGACAGATTGGATTTGAGCGAAAAATCGGATTTGAGCAAAGTGGCTTGTAATGTGAACGTTGCTCAAATGTGTCTTGGCTGGTTCGCTACGTTTGGGGCAAGAGAAGATCTTTTACAGAGCTATCGCTTTAACAGTATCGCAGATGATTTGCTGAGCTGCTGTCACAGCATAGCTTAGCTCCCTCAACGTATGAGCCCATACCTCAAAGCTAAATACCTCACTTGGCCTTACTTCGAAAAGATGAATGGTAAATAAACTCAGCGCAGTTTTGAAACACACTTGAAGGTACCAGGTCGTGCCTTCTTTGGGTGCTTTTAGGGATCAGCTCTCATGTGTTGAAATCGGGGGTTAACAAATGTAGCAGGAGGCGCTAGCACAATCAAACAAGCCTCCTCCCAGTGTTTGCCCGCTTTTCCACAGCTGTAGTGTGTCATCCCCGTGTGTGGTCTCCATTTAGACTAGCTGTCTGGAAGCACTTGTTACTGTCAGCTTTTGCAAACAAATCATCTGTTTTGATCGCTCGCGGTAAGCCGTTGGTCGCATGCACCATGTGCGTTGTTCTTTTTTTTTTTTTTCCTTTCCCTTAACGTGACACAGTCTGATATGTCGCCAGTTGTTCGATAGCTGGAACCCTGCCAGGGACTTCAACCATGTCGCCCTTGTTTGTCAGAGTGTCACTTTTGGGGAAGTTTTCATCTCTGTGACATGCCGTTTCCCTCCCCCTGACATGACCACCTCAAAGGCAGCACCAGGTTTTGGTTTAAATGAGCGTGTTTGGGCTCAAAGCAAATGTTTGGGCGCAATGTATGAAGTCAGGGAGAGGGATCCTGAACTAAGGGTGCACTCGGTGAAAGGAATGCTCGGCAGTGCAGGGGTGCACCCCTACGACTGGGATTCACGTGTTGCACTTGTGGGCTCCCATTCTGTGCTATTGCCTTAATTGAAAGTGTTATGACCTCCCAGATAAGTGGAAAAACCTGCTGTGGTCAGTCTCCAGATAAGTGGAGAAACCTGCTATGGTCTATTATGGTCAAAAGTAACCGAGAATTGCTTAAAAATGTCATGCATTGTACTACTAAAGTTACAATATGTCATTTTTTCCTTGTTCCTGGCACTAGTGTTGTAACATAATCTGTTTTGTTGTGTGAGTGGGTTTTGTAGGCACTTGTAAAGCTCTGGTTTGGCTCTGCTGTCCACGCTGATCTTTTGATCTGCAGACTCATGAAAATGCAATTTCGTAGAGTCTTTGAATAGAAAGCATGTCCAAACACTGTTTCATTCCATGGCAAACTTTTTGGTGAGTGATCTTGTTTTGTGTGGTCTGGCAGTTGATATTATGCTCAGGTACCGGATTCTGCAGAAAAGATGGATACTGCCCATCTTTCAAATATGTCAAATATGAAGATAAAATGGTCCAGTGAATGTTATGCAGATCATTCGATATGGTTTGTCAGATCTGTCTACTTCCTGTTTGGGGCGAAGACGTTGAGGGACTACATACTACGCACATTTTCACGTTTATGTTGAGACGTAAACATTTCTCAAAAGCTGAAGCAGTTAGGCTAACATCTTAATGACTTGCCCTTGCTTTTGAACCTGCAACTATAAATTTACACTGATCAGGCATAACATTATGACCGCCTCCTTGTTTCTACGCTCATTGTCCATTTTATCAGCTCCACTTACTATATAGGTGCACTTTGTAGTTCTACAGTTACAGACTGTAGTCCATCTGTTTCTCTGCATACTTTGTTAGCCCCCTTTTACCCTGTTCTTCAGTGGTCAGGACCCCCATGGACCCTCACAGAGCAGGTACTATTTGGGTGGTGGATCATTCTCAGCACTGCAGTAACACTGATGTGGTGGTGGTGTGTTATTGTGTGTTGTGCTGATCTGAGTGGATCAGACACAGCAGTGCTGCTGGAGTTTTTAAACACCTCAGTGTCTCTGCTGGACTGAGAATAGTCCACCAACCAAAAATATCCACCCAAATAGTACCTGCTCTGTGAGGGTCCATGGGGGTCCTGTGACCACTGAAGGTACTTGCACACCTAGCGAAATTTATTTATACAATGTTTTCAGAGGTCAGTAAATTAATTCAAACATGTGCATAACTAATGATAACGGAAATGCAAGATGATTTTATTCACCCTCTATGCGACTGTTGCACACTTCCTCAGGTGACATGAATTCACCCTACCAATCACAATCGTCTGGCAACAATTGATTGCCATGGCAACAGCCAAGGTGACTGATCGACTGTGTCCCAGCATTTTTTGACAAATATCATAACGACTCGTTTTCCATCTGCTTCGCCATTTTCATGCTAGCATCTCCAAAATCAGCTCAAACCGAATTACGGACACCCAATCTATGCATGAAAATGCTTCGGCTTCTGAGTGAGGAGCTGGAAATTAGCTCAAACATTGTCATCATTTGTCAGTTTTGTGAGGAGCTAAGATTATCTTCATGGACTTGAAGACATTCTACTTGCTTGGTGTTTTTTATGTGGTGTGAAATAAAAAAAAAAAAAAATGTGGAAACACAAGTCTGAATATTGGTGTGTAATATTGGTGCCACTAGTTTGCATGCATTTTGCACAGTGCTAACCTCATGGCTAGAAGCTTCCATTACTTGTTAGCTACACAAGTTAACAACTTAAGCAAACTTCAGACACCAAACATATCTTTGCTGATCTACTACATTTGTTACAGGGAGAATATTACATAGATTTTTGCCAAAACTGTTGCTTAAAAACCTCCAAAGTAACTTTGTAACTGCAGAGTCCACTATAGCTGTTTTATTTGTGCGTTATCTTATGTAGTTAGGCATGTGACCAGAGCACACAGAAACACCTGGTTGTTCTGTTTTTCACCAGCTGATGTGTAGCACTGTCTCCTTCCTCTTGCTCTGGCCTCCGTCACTAATGTGAAGCAAACACTCCATGTGCATGTCTGAGTTTGTGTCTGTGCCTGCAGGGCCTACATGGACGTGAAGGAACTGAAAGAGATCCTTCGTCTGGACGGCTCCACACACCTTAACATCTTCTTCGCCAACTCGTCTGACGAGGACCTTGCTGGAGTAGCCACCTGGCCATGGGACAAGGAGGCCCTGACACATCTAGGTACTAATGCAATATGCTTATTGATCCAGGGTTGAGAACAAAGAGCTTCTGCTTTTATGTCACATTGCTTGATTGCTTTTTAAGTTTATATCTGGCACTGTTTGTCGCAGAGGTTCTATTTCCTTGCTAATTGATGCCCATGTGTCCACTGTTGGTGGCTCAGCTGAATCGATTCATCAGTTGATCCTGGAAGCTTTGGGTAAATGAGTCGTAGGTGCCAGCGCTTTGTTTCAACTTTGTATAACGAGGAGCTTCCAAAAGGAATGGATTAGGCAATACTGTTTTAATTGATTCCAGCTCTTCTCCGTGTTTCTTCCAGGGGGCATAGTCTTGAATCCATCTTTCTACGGGACGTTTGGCCACACGCACACCATGATCCACGAGATCGGACACAGTCTGGGCCTGTACCATGTCTTCAGGGGCATCTCGGAGATCGAGTCCTGCAACGATGCCTGTTTGGAGACCGAGCCTTCGCTGGAAACAGGAGATTTGTGTGCTGACACGAACCCCACACCTAAATACAAGCACTGCAGAGACCCAGAGCCTGGAAATGAGACGTGTGGCTGCCGCAACTTTGTCCACACACCTTACAATAACTACATGAGTTATGCAGGTAAATCATCATACGTTTGCTACAAACCGTGTCGAGTTGTTAAATAATCTCAAATAGACTTGACACTGTATGACATACTGTTATCTATAAAAGTAGACACAATTATGGACAAAATTCAGGCTTCATGGCTGCTACTGAAGTTTTAGCTGGGCAATGTACTTTTGTCCAAGTTCGGGAGAAATTGAAAATAAAATTAGATCAATTTGATGTTTGGTCAAACCAACTTTTTAAACAACTTAATTTTTACTGAGCTTGTTCTACAGGATCTTGTAGAAGTTGCCAAGCCCCCTATCCACAGCTGCTCTAATTGTAGCCCTTTCTTTTCACCCCCTACAGATGATGACTGCACGGATTCTTTCACCCTAAACCAGGTGGCCCGCATGCACTGTTACCTGGACCTGGTCTACCAAACCTGGCAGCCCAACTACAAACCATCTATTGTGCCCATGGCTCCCCATGTGGTGGACCAGGGCCAGGACACCATCACCATTGAGTGGTTCCCTCCGCTCACGGGACACGTCTATGACAGGTGAACTGAGGTTACAGAGAGCATGTAATAGTATCTAATAGGCTCTTATACAGCAGTTACTTCTAGCCACACTATCTGATTGATCGAGCAGCGTTTCACTCATTTTTAATCATACCTGTATTATTGTGTGTCATGCATAGCAACGAACACTTTGCTCAAAACTGCTGGAGATTGTTTTAGCAAATAAAATTGTGAATTTTAAAAAAAATGTATTTGAAACAATATTTGGGGTTTCTTTGCTATTGTATAAAAGTGTTAGACCACTTGAGTTCATAGTATTATTCACTAAAGTCGTTTGATTCCAGGAATTCTGGCATTCTGATTGCAGTTGATGTGACATTGATTCTAAGAGTTGATTCCATGCAACAATTTTCTCAATTCTTGATTCCAAAATAAAAAAACAAGCTACTTGTCACATGCAAGCGGAAATTGATGGTAAATGAACGGGAAGTGCTACAATGGCTAAGTTTGCATGCAAAGATTTTTGCCAATCCGATTGAACACATTCTGATTATAGATTATAAGATTGAGGTGTTTATATGCTACTCAAAAATCTGATGGAAAATCTCCGTTTACATGCTCACTACAAGTAATCCGATCCAAAATTCTGCACATGCGTGGAGTGCCACTTAAAGTAGACGTTACCATGACAATAAGCATCACAGTCCAGTCAGAGTGAGATGAGCAGCAGTGAGCAGCACTTGCAGAATGTACTTAAACTTTCAGATTGGGAATGTAATCAGATACAGGCGATTACATGGCTATTATTCTTCTATTTAACGGATTGTTTACAGGATTACCCACCTCGCTCAGTCGGATAGAAACTGTATTCCAAATGGCCTCAATCGGACTAGTCTATTCCAACTGAGGTGTATGCATGGACATATTCTATTCCTATTGAGCTATTAGTCAGATGATTAACGGCTTATTAGGATGCATGGAAATGTGGCTAATGTGAACACAAAAAATGGAGTTCTGGACTGACTCGGAGTCTCTCACTTTGTGTGTGCACAGATGTCGGCTAACTTGAAAGTCAATGAAAATATTACATCAACACAATTGCTATCTATAAGTTTGCTTCTTTTGATAAGAACTGGGAACACACACCCATATGTACTCACTCACACATCATCTAACCCACTTAGCCTCCTGGGTCACAGGTGCTGCTGGAGCCTATTGGGTGGCGGGCAGGAAACACCCTGGACAGGTTGCCAGTCCAACACAGGGCAGACACACAGACATACAAGTAGTAACTAGTATTTACAAGTAGCATATATGCAACCACTTGACACATTTTAATCATGTAAATTCAAAGGTTAGGCACCTTGCAGAACAGCTAAGAGGGCGTTGCCCCCCTATGCCACCCTAGCCTGGTTAGGGTTATATTTTATTTTTAGCCATGATACCAGTAGATATGGTGTGTTCTTGAGGATCAGGTGTGTTGGCATTCAATATGTCTCCTGCTCTGGGAGATGTGTCCTAACACGCCCTGCTCAGAGATCAACGAGAGACGTGGATGTTACATTTCAGCAGTTTCTGTTGAGTGAATTTACGAGGTAGCAACGCACATCCACTCATCAAAAGGTAGCAAATATTTTCCTATTCAGCCAAATAGCCCGTTGTTCCTCAATTGCTCACACATGTTTTCAGTTAATAGCAATATTTACAATCTTGTGCTCAATTTGCTGTGTTGTGGATATAGATAAAGTGGAATTTCTTCACAGAACTTTCCAAAAACATCCTACTGGCCCTGAGATTCCGTTTCATTAGATGATTCAGAGCTGTGGAATCCAATTAGTTGAGTCACTGTGTTATTGCACGTCTTTTTCTGGTATTACAGCACAGATGTCGGACAGTAGTGTTTATTAGCAAGGCCATCCACACTTGTCTGCGCGTAAGAGGGACCGTTATGCGGGGCTGTTTCAGTGACAGGTGTAATTCAATGACGCAAGCAGTGGGGAAGCCCCTCAAGAACATGTTGGGGCATGTCTCAAGTTCATTGCTCGATCCGTGGACTGTCTGCCTGTGTGTGTGTGTGTAATAGTGTTTTTGTCCATTTTCAGAAGAGAAATGTCTTGATTTTCTAGGGAAACCAGAGATAATTTAATATAACCAACAAAATGCATTTTGCATTGTATTAATATAATATTAAATAATATTAAAATTACTTCCATTAACTTTCATTACAAGTATGTTTTTTCCTTCTCCGGTAAAGTTACCATTTTGGAGATAAAAGGTTTTTTTCTTCCAACAACAATGTATGGGAAATATCATAACTATAATATAAAATACAGGAGACATTATTACTTATAGATACATGCAGATATATAATACGCATGAGGCATTACACATTGTTACTTACTTATGTAATACATGAGGAACAAATATGTCACCTCTTGTCCTGACATTGTATAAAAACAAACCTGTGTGTGTGTTTGTGTGTTTGTGTGAAACATGCTTAGCTGGCAAGCACCGATCCGATACGCCGTCCCTGTTCAGGCAAAGGCCTTCGGTGACTCATAGAGGCCGAGAGTTCCCACATCTGAACACATCCACGCAGCAAACGTGTGACACATTGTTTGTAACAACATCAAATGAAAGTCTGGAAAGCTGTTTAACTTGGGTTGCCATTCAGTTAGATCATGCAAACAAAGGCATCAAAAAACAGAGCTTGATCATCAGAATCAGGATCAGAAGCGTTTATTAGCCAAATATGTTTTTGCATACTAGGAATTCGTTCTGGCGAGTGCTCACACAACGGCCGATAATGTAATACAAAGTGCAGTGAAGAAGAAGGAATGTTTGTCAAAATATACAAAATAAGAATAGATGCACAATGTAAGCAAGTTCAATACTGTACAAGTATTGGAAAGTATAACGTATATGCCTAACAATGAATGGGAAAAACACATGCAAGCAGTTCATGTCATGGTTCTCATTGACATAATTGCTCCACCCACCAATGGGTTCTTCCATAGCCATGTTGCAGCTTCACCACTGTGAGTTGCATGCATGCATAAAAGGTCAGACTGTTAAAATAAGTTGTAGGTTTTTGTCATACACACTTAAACAGGATGGTTCTATGAGGGTTTTGGGGAAAGTTAGTGGTTCTATTTTGAACCTTGAGTTCTATAGAGAACCGTTTCATGCCTAACTGATTCTTGCCTTGGTAAAACATTGATGGAGAATGTGTTGTATATGGAACCTGTTTCAAAATGGTTCAATGTAGCACCAAAAATGGTTCCTCTATTCTTACAATCTTCATATTGCAACTATAGAAGAGCCGTTATTGGTGCTGTATATTTATAGAACTTATATGGAACCATCTCAGAACCATCTTTTCGCAGAAAAACTTTTTAATCATGCAAACGGTGCTTTGAGGGTTCATGGTTCTATTAAGACCCATTTTCTTTTCTAAAGAACCATCATTTTTTAAGAGTGTGTAACAATAAAGAACCCCTTTTGGTGCTGTATAGAAGCCTTGTAAACAGGTTCTATATATATAACCATAAACAACACATGTTTCGTGCTGCATACAGTTCTATATAGGAGCTTTTTGAAATGGGTTCTATATATCACCAAAAAGGGGTTCTTCTATTGTTAAACACTCTTAAAATAATGTTTCTTTAAGAGATCTTTAATAATGAAAATGGTTATATGTAGAACCATGAACCTCTCAAAGAACACTTTGCATAAATAAAGAATTCCTCGCATAGATAAATGGTTCTACAGATTGATGTAGCATGTGCTGTAGATGGTTCTATGCAGAACTTTTTTGAAAAATGGTTCTAAATAGCTCAGCAAAGGGTTTTTCTGTTGTTAGGATGACAAGCCTGTAACAAGATAAATATATACTATATAGAACCATCTACACACTCTATGATCTGCAAAGGCTCTTTAATCATGCAAAGGGTTCTTCGAGTGTTCTTGGTTCTATAGGGACAATTTTCTTTATTGAAGAACCCTTGAAGAGCCATCATCTTAAAGATTGTATAGAACTCATGGTTCTAAATGAAATCATTCCCTATACTAAAGAACTCTTGAAGAACCATCTTGTTGAAGTGTGTAAAATTGAGGTTTTTAGAGGTTAATATCTTATAGGCGTTGCTGAAAGTTCACTGGGCCTCCATGTTTAGCTGTTTGTTAATGTTGGTAGCTAAGCCACTACTCTGTCCCTCTCTGTCACCGAGTACTTTTAGCATAGCTGGAAACCCCATATTGTCACACAAATTCTATGATGATGTTTCCAGTGTGTCTTCGGTTAAGGTTAGCTATCGTCTATTGGCTATAGTCCTTTTCAGTAGCATAGCATCATGTAGCAACTTTAAACAAGCAATTTAGCATTCATCTAAAGAATAATTTACACCGATCAGGCATAACATTATGACCACCTCCTTGTTTCTACGCTCATTGTCCATTTTATCAGCTCCACTTACTATATAGGTGCACTTTGTAGTTCTACAGTTACAGACTGTAGTCCATCTGTTTCTCTGCATACTTTGTTAGCCCCCTTTTACCCTGTTCTTCAGTGGTCAGGACCCCCATGGACCCTCACAGAGCAGGTACTATTTGGTTGGTGGATCATTCTCAGCACTGCAGTAACAGTCCTACCTTGTCAGTCCACCTTGTAGATGTAAAGTCATAGACGATAGCTCATCTGCTGCTGCACAGTTTGTGTTGGTCATCCTCTATCAGTGGTCACAGGACGCTGCCCACAGGACGCTGTTGGCTGGATATTTTTGGTTGATGGACTATTCTCAGTCCAGCAGTGACACTGAGGTGTTTAAAAACTCCAGCAGCACTGCTGTGTCTGATCCACTCAGACCAGCGCAACACACAATAACACACCACCACCACATCAGTGTTACTGCAGTGCTGAGAATGATCCACCACCCAAATAGTACCTGCTCTGTGAGGGTCTATGGGGGTCCTGACCACTGAAGAACAGGGTAACAAAGTGTGCAGAGAAACAGATGGACTACAGTCTGTAACTGTAGAACTACAAAGTGCACCTATATAGTAAGTGGAGCTGATAAAATGGACAATGAGAAACAAGGAGGTGGTCATAATGTTAGGCCTGATCTGTGTATATATATTTTAACAAAGTCTTTGCATTAGATAAATGGGATGTTTGCCAGTGTTTGCGCAAACCTTGTCCAACCTCACAGCAGTTGCGACAAAAGAACATATCTGTGAGTGAAGCATGGGGCAATTACCCTGAATCGTTTCCCAGAAAGGCAGAGCTTGGGCGACACTGCCAGTGTGACAGGGGTCAGGCGTGATTTACGATGTTGATCATCAACAATAATAACAGTGTCTTTGGACTGTATCTAAGTTGTGTCCCCTCTGTGTCTGTTGGTTTCCTAGAGAAGTGGGATCAGTGTGTGATAAATGCGCAGAAGGCCGGGTCTTCCTCCAGTACGCCTCCCACTCCTGGTCCCCGCGGCCCTGCTTACCTTCCGGCCACTGGAGCCCACGTGAGGCTGAGGGTAAGGCATAGGACCGCTTCACTTCACTCCACCCCACACACATTGTTCAACAGGCTTCCTGTCAGTTTTTACCATCCAAAAAACATCCACGTTTCTTGGATGCAGATTGCACACACAGCAGGGATAATGATGAATTAGTCTTAAGTATCTCTGAGTATTGTACTATTGATCTAACTGTCCAGCACACTAAGCCTTAAAGGAAAGTGGTCAAATTTAATAAATTTAGCAAACAGATAAATACTTAAAGGGCCGGTTTCCCAGATAGGGATTAAACCTAGTCGTGGACTACATTTTTCTTTCAGTGAAGCCCAAATGATATCTGGACTGCAGTGGTAGTGTGCGCACAAATTGACCAATAAGCAAAGGGCAGCTGACAAAATGTGCATGACCACATATACAATCTGTACCTGTACACTTATGTAGCGGACCTGGAAAGTAGGTGTTTCTAATAATAAAAAGGTGGCCAGTGAGTGGAAGTTCAAGGTAGGTGTTTCTATTAAAGTGGCCAGTGTGTAAAAGTTCAAGGTAGGTGTTTCTGATAAAGTGGCCAGTGAGAGGAAGTACAAGGTAGGTGTTTCTAATAAAATGGCCAGTGAGAGGAAGTACAAAGTTGATGTTTCTGAAAAAGTGACCAGTGAGAGGAACTACAAGGTAGGTGTTTCAGATAAAGTGGCCAGTGAGTGGAAGTACAAGATAGATGTTTCTAATAAAGTGGCCAGTGAGTGGAAGTACAAGATAGGTGTTTCAGATAAAGTGGCCTGTGAGAGTAAGTACAAGGTAGATGTTTCTAATAGAGTAGATGTTGTGTACATGTAGTTTCTTATATATCATTTTAAACCATAAAACCTTATCTACATCACATGCAGAGGTTTACTGGATCCTCATCAGCACTTGCATGATGAACTACTCTTTTCCAAATAGAATGACGCTCCAGGAAATGGCAGAACACTCTCGGTAACTTAGATCTTTTCCCTGAGTGCTTCATGCATTGTGGGCTTTATGAATATGTCATCAATGTGCTATGAAGCCAGACATCTCTTAAAAACCATACCCCTCGCCCTCCTGCTCGTCTTTTCAATACGCACTTGCCGTCTCTGCTCCTTCACTCCAGCTAGGCCAAGGACTCTATGAAAAGATGAAATCAGCAACATACCTAAAATAGGCTGCCTTCCCTAGCTGCTTTTTTTTTTTTCCTTGCTGTGTGTTCCTTCACTTGCTCTCTCTCCGAACAACTGTGGAGAGAGATCAGTTTGGGCAAGAGGTGGAATTTGGCTTTTATAAATAGTCTGCACAGCTGTGCTGCCGCAAAACTCTCCGACAGCTGCTTTATTAATTATTGTTTGTGAGCGTGGCCGGCATAAAACAGCGATCTGTCGGTTTGTCAGGATCGCATCCGCGAGGAATGCTCTTACTCTGCACATTGGTACGTTTTCGGGCGGCCTCAGGGATTTTGGAACCATGCGAAGAGAAGACGTGCAGAGTGTGGTGCTGCCTCTGCAGAGAGTTCTGATGAAAGTATTATATACTCTATAGTCAAAAAGACTTGCTTAGATGTCATTTTTCGCAGTGACTACTGACACACCAAAACATGAATGCAAATATAGGAAGTAGACGCTGAAAAATTAAGGTTCCTAAATGTTTTCGACCTGGATGCATGGTTCTATGAAAAATCTTGAACTGCTGTAGAACCAGGCTGCTAGAAAGAGTGGCCTGTGAGTGTGTTTGATTTGGCCTGTCAGATCTGAGTGTGTTTGATTTTGCCTGTCAGAAAGTCACCTTAACCCATCCCCAACCAATAAGAGACTAGGCCTAGCAATACCTCATTTAGTTGATCTTGTCAGCTTATCTATCTGAAGTTTTGGTGAATTACAGATCATATTCTCTTTAAAATGTGTAACACTTCATCTGGATTAGCTATGCTGGCTGACTTACATACTTATTCAACTACAGACTAGCCAACTGTTTCAAGTTCGTTTGCCTCTTTCCTTTAAACATTGCATTTACTGTATGTAGTGCTTCAGTTCTGTCCTTCAGACTGAAGGTTTTTGTACGATGAAAGGCCCATTATTTGAAGTCAGGTCAAACCCAACAGGTTTTTAGGAGAGGTTTACTTTTGTACAGCGTAATTCCTGCAGCAAATAACAAGAGCAAACAGAAGTTCTCTTAAATTCATGCCTCAGAGACTCAAGACTCAACTCAGACCTTGTACCCAAAAGAACCGAGACTCGACAGCCTTACATCAGACAACTTTGTACCTTTTGTACCCCAAAGACTTGAGACTTAACTCAGACTCATACTTCAGAGACTCAAGACTCAACTCAGACTCACACTTTAGAGACTCAAGACTCAACTCAGACTCACACCTCAGAGATTCAAGACTCAACGAATACTCACATCTCAGAGACCCAAGACTCAACTAAGACTCACATCTCAGAGACTCAAGACCTAACTAAGATTCACATCTCAGAGACTCAAGACTCAACTCAAACTCGTACCCAAAAGAATCGAGACTTGACTAATGCTGGCCTTACACCAGACAACTTTGTACCTTTTCTACCCCAAAGACTTGAGACTCAACTTAGACTCACACCTCAGAGACTCAAACCTCAACTCAGACTCACACCTCAAGACTCGACTCAGACTCACACCACAGTGACTTAACCTTTGCATGGCACAATGCCTGCAGCAAATAATGAAAGCAAGCAGAAATTCTCTAAAAATCATGTTTTAGAGACTCAGGACCCAACTCAGACTCATACCCAAAAGAATCTAGACTCGACTAATGCTGGTATAACGCCATATTACTTTTCAAGCAAGTTCAGTGTCACCGAAAAATTTCAATGTCAGAAAAAAATCATGAGAGTTTTGCTAGAGTTCTATCATGCTCGCATTATCTCAATCATTTGGTGTAAGGTGGACAGGATAGCTGTCTTAAGTCTTTTTCTCATCTTGATGTTCAGATAAAATGAATCGAGTTTAAAATCATCATAAGTTTTTAGTCCTGGCTCATGCAAATAGTAACCTCACATCCCATAGACTTACGTCTCGACTCGGCCTTGCACTCCAGATACTAGAGACCTGACTCAACCTCACACCCAGGAGACTTGAGACTCTGACTCATCTTGTACCCCAAAAGACTTGATATTCCACTCAGACTCAAACTCCAAAGACTCTAGACTATACTAAGGCTTGTACGACAAAGACTCAAGACCCAACTCAGACTCACACCTCAGAGGCTAAAGACTCAACTGAGACTCGCACCCCAGAGACTTGATACTCACCTCAGACTCCCACGTCAGAGACTCAAGACTCACATCTCAAAGATTCGACTCAGACTCACACCTCAGAGACTCGAGACTAGACGAAGGCCTTACACCCCAAAGACTCGAGACTAGACTCGGCCTTACACCCCAAAGACTCGAGACTAGACTCGGCCTTACACCCCAAAGACTCAAGGCTCAACTCGGTCTCACACCCCGGAGACTAGAGACTCTGACTTATCCTGTACACCAAAGACTTGAGACTCAACTCAGATTCAAACCCCAAATACTCTAGACTACACTTAGACTTGTATGAAAAAGACTCACACTCCAAAGACTCAAGACTCGACTCAGACTCGCATTCTAAAGACTCAAGACTCGACTCATACTCACACTCCAAAGACTCAAGACTTGATGCAGACTTGCACTCCATAGACTTAAGATTCGACTTGGCCTCACGTCCCAGAGACTCAAGACTCGACTCAGACTCACACCTCAGAGGCTAAAGACTCAACTGAGACTCGCACCCCAGAGACTTGATACTCACCTCAGACTCCCATGTCAGAGACTCAAGACTCACATCTCAAAGATTCGACTCAGACTCACACCTCAGAGACTCGAGACTAGACGAAGGCCTTACACCCCAAAGACTCGAGACTAGACTCGGCCTTACACCCCAAAGACTCAAGGCTCAACTCGGTCTCACACCCCGGAGACTAGAGACTCTGACTTATCCTGTACACCAAAGACTTGAGACTCAACTCAGATTCAAACCCCAAATACTCTAGACTACACTTAGACTTGTATGAAAAAGACTCACACTCCAAAGACTCAAGACTCGACTCAGACTCGCATTCTAAAGACTCAAGACTCGACTCATACTCACACTCCAAAGACTCAAGACTTGATGCAGACTTGCACTCCATAGACTTAAGATTCGACTTGGCCTCACGTCCCAGAGACTCAAGACTCGACTCAGACTCACACCTCAGAGGCTAAAGACTCAACTGAGACTCGCACCCCAGAGACTTGATACTCACCTCAGACTCCCACGTCAGAGACTCAAGACTCACATCTCAAAGATTCGACTCAGACTCACACCTCAGAGACTCGAGACTAGACGAAGGCCTTACACCCCAAAGACTCGAGACTAGACTCGGCCTTACACCCCAAAGACTCGAGACTAGACTCGGCCTTACACCCCAAAGACTCAAGGCTCAACTCGGTCTCACACCCCGGAGACTAGAGACTCTGACTTATCCTGTACACCAAAGACTTGAGACTCAACTCAGATTCAAACCCCAAATACTCTAGACTACACTTAGACTTGTATGAAAAAGACTCACACTCCAAAGACTCAAGACTCGACTCAGACTCGCATTCTAAAGACTCAAGACTCGACTCATACTCACACTCCAAAGACTCAAGACTTGATGCAGACTTGCACTCCATAGACTTAAGATTCGACTTGGCCTCACGTCCCAGAGACTCAAGACTCGACTCAGACTCACACCTCAGAGGCTAAAGACTCAACTGAGACTCGCACCCCAGAGACTTGATACTCACCTCAGACTCCCATGTCAGAGACTCAAGACTCACATCTTAAAGATTCGACTCAGACTCACACCTCAGAGACTCGAGACTAGACTCGGCCTTACACCCCAAAGACTCGAGACTAGACTCGGCCTTACACCCCAAAGACTCAAGGCTCAACTCGGTCTCACACCCCGGAGACTAGAG